TATGTTTTTGTTTATTTACTACTTTTACGAGGACCCCGTGGCACAAATGGGTATAGTTGTATTAAACTCGTCTACTTAGGTTTTATTCAAAGAAATATATTTTCGGTATGGAAATGACATAAGTAAAAAGAGACATTAGCCTTTCTTATTTGCTTCTTAAACAAGTTGCTCATTACATGTATTTATCAACCTAGCTCTGAAGCTGCCGTAGGTCTGCAGCATGAACAAGGCGGTTCAACCGGGGAACTAAAAAGTGAACTCCTGTGAGTGAGGAATCCCATGGCCGACATTATTATGGCTGGCGATTGCATTCATATCACGCAGTCGATATAACGCAATAAATTTAAAGCACGCCGTCGAATCTAGTACCTTTTCCTAAATAAAAAAAGAACAGATTCAGTATCTAACTATTCGACTAGCGGATACAGGTAATCCGTGCCCCAAAACAGTATCTCCTCAGACGCCTCTCTTCCCCAGCTCAACCCTCGGGACTGGCTTTTTGAGTCTTTTGAACGACGACGCGTATGAATGTCAACGGTTTTCCTCCGTGACGTAACCTGTTTCAAATATTTTGTGGTCAGATGTGTGTTAACTAGAACTTGCCGTGTCGGTATCATTATTGTGTCCCTCTTGAACTTTCGCCTATGGAAACATTTCTGTAATTAAAAATGAAAAGTTACCTTAAATCGATTGCTTGCACGGTGGTAACGCATACATTTGAAACGTTACCAAATGAGCAAGCGATTCATGAGGTTTCCCGATGCGTTGACAATCTTTAGAATAAACGGGCCCTGGTCACTTCACTAGAAAAGACACGACAGTATAATAATTCCACTTTACCAACCAGCGTCCAAGACCAGCGTCTTCTTTGAGGTCACTTCGGGCAATCTCGACTAGCCTGTCTATTCGTGAAACCTCAAGGTGTTGCGCGTCCCTACCACTGACAAGAATTATTCTACTGTGCATTTTCAAGGTTTTTTGTATTCGTTTTTATTGTCCATAGGTACTTTCGAGGTGACCTCATAAAAGGTTCAAAGCTATTGCTAAGTACACTAACTTTCTTGTGGTTTGCGATTGCAAATTTTCCTTGTTACTTGTGTGTACTTTAAATATTTACTTTTATCATTCATAATTAGGTCCAATATTGTAAAATAGAAATAAATTATAAAACTTTTCTTTACTAGTAAGTAGCTTTACTAGTAGTAGTAATATTGTGAAGGGTCCACCCGTATTCAAATGAGCTTTGGCTTAATAGAAAACGAGAGTAATGAGAAACGCCTCGTTGATATTCAATGCTTCAATGCGGGGGCCCCTGGTCGTCGCTCGCGTTCCTTTAATACGTTGTAAACTTGTGTAAATATTTGATTCGTCGTAATGTTCCGGCGGGTATCGGCTGTCGGTCCCTTACCGTGGTCGGAATCCTGGAGCGGTGCCCGCTCGCGGTTGCGTTCTTGTTTATTATCAGGCTTATATATATCTTCATTCGTGTCGTGTACGAATGATAAAAATAAGAACATAGTAATAGAAAGTCATTGAAGAACTCTGGCCCCGAAGCTTTAGATAAAGATTGGTCTGATTTTAATTGAAGTTTTTGAAAAATACCAGCGTTTAAGCACCCCTGCGCTCAATATCCGAATTGAATTTACATTAAGCTTATCTATTACCCAAGTCTCAAGTCTAAGTAATACTACAGCTGTGAAAAAACGACGCGGCTCTACTTAGCACGATGTATTTTTGAAGGGTTGTTTACTTAGCCGAGGCACTCGAGAGTAATGACCTGCGGTATTCACTAAATTTGCGTTTCACGCTAAAGACCCTTCGCTGGATGTAGGGTCTTCGTGGCTGTTAAATATTCGTCGTACAGTTATGCAATATACTTTCAGGCTAATAAATGGCTTCATCTGCCTACTTTGCTGTCTTTGTTCCTCGTATTTAATACATTCTAAGGACATTAAGCCACTGATTGGTAAGATTTTAGATCTTTTGACTGTATTGTTGAGGTGTACAACATGTATAGGTCTTGTGTACTCTGACGCTGTAGTAGTATGCGTAAACACAGTTTTTTTTCTTCCATTTGGATATGACCAAGTGTAAATTTTCATATTTATTTCAACTACTAGCTGCTGCCCCTGACTACGTCTACGTAGAATAGGCTGAAGGCGTAACATTCAGACAGACAGACAGATATACATAAAATATCAATATAAATTATAGCCTGTCTTATTCTAATGTATAAGCTATATTATTGTAAAGTTTCATTAAAATCCATTCAGTAGTATTTGCGTGAAAGAGTTACTCTTAACAGAAAACATCTATCCATACATACAAACTTTCGCCTTTATAGTATTAGTAAGGATTTCAATACTTGTTGGAGCTTTTCTAGAAAATTAATTCGGCTCCTATCAACAGTACACAATCTCTGTGTTTATTTTGCTAAGCAAAGGTGTCGTCACGCTCAACTTTAATTTTTGACGTGGCGGGTCACCGCCCGTTTTCTGATAAAGGGACCACTTGAGGTGACCTCTTGAGGTTTGTGCTCTCTTAATGGTGTTGTAATCGCTTGCTTTTAACGTTTACGTTGAAGTCTCGCGCTGACCGTAGTCTAAAATAAATTTAAAGCTAAAGTATCATTAGATAGATTTAGTGAATTATGTTTTTGCCATTTTAACAAAAATAATATCAATGTAACATCAAACATAATATCAATATGCATTAAAAATCGTTTTACGTTTTCTTCTCAAGTTCATTTTTAATTAATATCTTTTTTTTATGTGAGAAAGTGGCAAATTAGCTGGCAGTTCACGTGATGTCAAGTGATGTTAACCGCCGTCTATGGACATTTGCAACACCCGTAGGGTTGCAAATGCGTTGCCACCTATAAATAAAGTGGGCTACCTCACTCACCAAACGAAACGCACAAGTGTTATTTTTGTACTGTCGCTGCGTTCATCAACCGGACTAGTAACGGTGCAGCAGTGTATATTCGTATTAATTATATGTATATATTTTCTGTTTTTTGGTTGGAAACAGTGGAAATGTTTCTCTTTCTATCTCTCTCTATTCAATTAACGCGTATCAGTTACTCTTTTACATCAACACTAAACATTACCAACGGAATGCAACTACGGTATTGGTATGCCTCAATATACCTCAATGTTTGAAGACTAAAGTCTTCAAGCAATGTGTGCCAGTGATGACCTACGGAACGGAGACGTGGTCCTTCACTGCTGGCGATATGAGGAAGCCCAAAGTCGCTCAGCGAGCTATGGAGTGGGCTATGCTCGGTATTTCTCTGCGTGATAGAGTTCGTAACGAAGACATCCGCAGTAGAACTAAGACAAACGGCATAGCTCAGAGGATTAGCAAGCTGAAGTGGCGATGGGCCGGCCATATAGCTCGTAGAACCGATAACCGTTGGGGAAGAAAGGTTCTCGAGTGGCAGCCTCGTACTGGCCATCGCAGTGTAGGACGACCCCCCACTAGATGGAGTGACGACCTGTGCAAATGTGCGGGATGTCGATGGATGCAGGTGGCTCAGGATCGTACTTCATGGCAGTCTGTGGGGGAGGCCTATGTTCAGCAGTGGACTCAAACAGGCTGAAATGATGATGATGATTGGTATGCGCGTGTATTTCATTTATCCTCTAAATTTGATCTTACTGTATTTTTGAACGAATAAATTTCAGCGCTAACCTAATCCAACTCAGCGGTGACGATATGTGAATCCGCTGCCCGCCATCTTTCTTAAGTCATCAGTCCATCTTGCTGCAGGCCGTCCCACACTACGTTTTCCGCCACTATCAGTGACACACTAAATAATTATTAGCAACACCAGGGTTGGAGACCCGTTACCGTCTTGCTTCGTAGCTGGTTACGCGCACTTATCGGACGAAGTAAAAGAGGTTTGGCTTTCATAAAACTGTTTCTGTATGATCTCCTTCATAAGTATTATAATATAGCATAATCTAAGTATCATAATAATAGCCAATTCAATTCGACAGCACCAGCTAGTTGTTATGGCGCGTTGAGTCCTGTATTATTAGTCAGTAAATTAGAATACCAATATATGACTACCCCTCGCCGCTCACTTAAGCTAAAGCTGTTTACTTATTTATTATCTGTCACATATCTCTTAGTCAGTTCGTTGAGAATGCTAGCTTGTGCCGTTTCGTAATTTTTTATACGCAGAACTTTTCGGACGTGCTTTTTAGTCAAACACCCCCCCCCCTGTCTCCTATCCTTTGAATAATCAGCCTCGAGTTGTTTATTTGCCCAACCCTTTGACATTTTGGCTACTTTCGCCTTTTTAATGTTACACTACATTGCATACATTTTGGAGACAAACTCTCTCGTCTGTAGCTTCGAGGGACTGAAACTTTTACCAGCTTTTTAATAAATTTTATCGACAGACAACCAAATAAAAAGTTCAAAAGTCAACCAAATAAAATGTTGGTTTATTTTAAGTCGTGGACGTTTCGTTTTCCAAGTGCCATTTAAATTCATTCTTATCCAGTGTAGTTTTCTGAGTCTGCTTACTCAATGAAGAGGTCAACAGTCAATGCAGAGATATAGAGATACTGCAAACTCAAATGAAATTCAAAATGATCACTTTTAGGGATATGAATATATGTTTATTTCATTTTATAAATCCAGATAATGTGAGAGTATGTACTTTTTGTTTTTACTTGTGATTGTTGACGTATCGTATATATTTTTATATATTTATAAATCATCGTCTACTAAAAATATGTATTATCTTTGATATCTCCATCGGTTATTTTTCGAATCGTTCAGAAGTCACACAAATGCAGGTACACGTTACAACGATTCTTTTATAGGTATTATTTTTTTTTACTGGAAACGGTGCATTTTTGTTTTATTGAGCTTATCTAGTTACTTAACAGAAATGAAAAAGTAAAAACGAATTCGGAGAATGCGAGTCACATACTGAACCTCTTTCAATGAGAAAGCCAGAGAAGTGGGCGGCACGAGCCTAGACTATGGCGTGGGTACGGCGGGCCGCACCGCGACCTATAGGTGCCCTCTTAATCGTAACCAAGGGAATATCAGACAGCGATCGGCGCGATGCCTCTCGTCTCATTAGCCTCGCCAATAAAATAATTGAGAGTCTATGTGGCGTCCGCCGGTGGGAGAGGGGGCGGCGGGGTGTTGGGCGGGGGCCGCCCGGGCTTCAGTGTTCGGCCGCCCGCCCTGAGGGTAGTACGTGTCCGCGACTCCTCCGCGCGTCACGTCACGAGTGCCCGCCTAACGTGTTGCTCGGAACACCTGCCCCCCTTGGCTGTGTAGTTATTAAGTAATCAGTTATATCACTGTGTTAGCGACACACTTCAGCGTCTTCAATACCCACGAGATCTTTTAACCGACCGACGTGATCAGATAACAATCGCTATCAGTCAACATTGACAGAGCATACTCAATCAGCATCCTTTCAAAGCTTTTTTTATGTGGAAGCTCTCGTCGTTTCGCCTTGCCGCTTATTAATTAGACGGATTATGTCGATTCCGGTTTCCTCGCTTTACGTGAAATGTTTTTTTTTGCTATACTGTTTCTGTTCGAGGAAAATTACGTCTTTAGTATATTCTTATGAATTTGATACGTCGCTGCGGCATTCTGATAGCGCCTTCGAAACTTGTACCCGAGAAGGATAGGATTAGGGAACGGATACCGGTATAAGGTGGCTAACTAACGGTGCTAACTATCGCGTGGTAAGTTATTAGGGCGGAATCCTTCAGCTATCCTTACACCCTTCTCATTTCTTAAGAGCTCAAGTGTTTGATGATTTATCTGCTCATGCATTTTCAAACAAACATTTTCTGAATTCGGAACACATCCGATTATTCGAAATTCGGTTAATATTACTGATGTTTATATCTGTTTGTTGAACGTTAGATTTTTAGAATATCCCAATATCATTCGAAAATCCCAAATTTTCTAATTTCTTTTTTCAAACGGAAAACTGTATAAACGAAACAATATTTTCAGCATCGGAACGTTTTCTCTCCGACAGACATAGCGTTAGATGCCGTATAGCAAGGAGTTCATACCGTCTGTGCTTATTAATGATTCCAGATTTAGCTGCCGTCATTAGTGAGTTTCTTGACGTCTCTCATCAGCGGCAGTTCTGAGGCACAGGTTGAATCATTGATGAGTTCGTTTCACGCTCCTCTTGTGGTCCATTCGCTGAATAAGTGAATTTTAATTTGTGTTTTCGCATTTTAATTCGTTCCTTGATTATTTAATTACATAATTACGAGTATATAAATAAACAATTTGGTTAATCTGATTTGTTTTCGTCTGTCGCTTTAAGCTGTCGCAATTAAGTTTTTATACATTTTCGATTTCCATCTTTCAATCCCCGAGTGATGATGACCAGATAAACCATATGTATTTTCTCTTATTAAATACATGATTAAAATGTTATAATGAATTATTCTAAAAAGTTCAGAAAGGACTGAATTTGAAAACCGTCCCCTTCGATCGACACAACTACCTTAGCTCGCGCACTTGTATCAATGCATTGATATCTAACTAGGCTTCTATGCATTGATATCAATCCGTAGTTGAATAGAAAAACATTAGGATTTTACCGAAACTATTTCAGCGTCTTCGTAGCACCGGCTCGGCGTCCTTAGTTCAGGGCGCCGGTGTCTCTGCATTGGTATTCAGCGGCGCTACGCTTCATGGGCAGGGCGGTTTATCAATAGGCCGTGGGGCGGGCGGTCACGTTTCCTATTAGGCGGGGGCGGCGGGGGGCGATGAGACACATTTGTCCGTCGCGACGCAATCGCCGTTTGCGTCGGTGAAGAAAGACGCGAACTCCTAGACGCGATCCGTCGGAGTCCTATTCTGAAGAATCCTCCCGTCTTACCGACGTTATGGGATGGGTGTTGGAGGATTCGGCATCGTTATGTCTATATCTATCTGCCCTATGATGATGCGTATATAACATATCAATTATTATTAATAAACTGACCTTTTAACACTCCATGTTAATGATATTTAGAAATATATTTTTTAACTTATTTTCACAATTTTCATTTTGAACTTTCTTATCTTACCTTTTTATTTTAATGTCATTAAAAGTTTTTCAGTATCATGGTTTATTTGTTTAATTTTTCCACTAAGTTGTACATTATGATCAAAGAAAATAAATGAATATTTAAATCACGACTGAAAACTAATAATCCGTTTCAAAATTTCCAGTAATTTTACTCCCGTAATCTGTCAAGTATTAATTGTGTTTGTCATCGAAAACTCACAAAGGTGAACTTCCCATCCGCTTTGTTTTGTCACAAGCCCTTAATGAGAGACCTCGTGGAGGGCCCTCACAATTAAATGGCGAATAGAGGGCGCTTAGCCCGAGAGTCGCTTAATGCTACTGACGAACCCATAAACAGAAAATGCGGAATCGCTTTCGAAGACGTTTCGTGGTTTTACAATTGTTTACTCTGGCTTTTGTTTGGTTCAAATAATACATTCATTTCAGTGCTCATTCACCCTCTTTCATTTTGTCATTTTTTTTACTAATGAAGGACGTTTTCATCAATCGACCGGACCTACTCTGACTTTTAATCAATTCATCCAGTTTCAAATTAAAATGATTGTTTGTTTGCTATATCTCGGTTTTCTGCTCTTTATTATCGCATCATCGGATGCTTCCATCAGGCGAATGTATCACTTGTGTAAAGGCCGGTATATCTACTGCTCAAACTGCTGCATCTTATGTTAGCATTTTCAATAACTATACTATAGTAAACCGAATACAAACCAACAGTGCTTCTGTACTGTTTTTTTGGTACACATTCGTCTATATTCCATTACAGCTAATTCACAAATTTGTTATTGTATTAAATTTATTTATTATGAAAGAAATAATTATGAAAATCCAGCTTCCATTTATAATATCCATATTATTTGAACTCACTCATGCAGTGGGTAAAGCGTAGCCCATTCCGCCTAATCAATTATTCATTCAATTTACTTTTAGTCGAAACTGTTGAATTTTAGTTTCAAACTGATCACAATGATGCATTGTTATTCATTGTATATTTAAATTAAGAGCTTTTGAATTTCATAAATATCATTATGATATAAAAAAGTTTGGTTTCGTGTTATGATGGTTTCGTTAATTAATAGAAAAATATTTACTTATAACCAAACGCTTGTTTATCCATACACCGTTCCATTGCGGCCGTATTTTCAATAAATGCTTATGTTCCAAGTATGTTACTTATGAAAATATGTCTTTTATATTGATAATAATGGAATGTAATTAAATTACTAATCAAAATTTAACCTAACATTTGCTTCAATATCTGCTCAAAGTAAGAGTTCGTTTAAAGCACCTTATAATATTCATTTGTTATTTATTAATATTTCAGTGTCTAAAAATACAATTTTTAGGTGGATTTCATATTTTTCAATAAAAACGGCGCAGATCTAATATTTCCACGTAACTGCCGTACTAAAGTACAGAATGTATTCCGATTGTTATTCCGAATTGTAACATTTGCAAACGTAATTAGACTAACGGCTTTCCGATTTTTAAATTGCCCAAACAAATTGTTTCGAACGAGATTAACATGCGCAACGGCCCAACGTTTTCGATTGCTTTTTCGTATAATGAAATGTTATGAGCGGGTTTGCCGCATTCGGAAAAAAATTTTGGGAAGAAATACATAAGAGTAATCAATATAATGAGATCATATGAGATTATGATGATGATTTAAGCGTATGGTTTTCTGTAATGGTCAATATCCTTTTGGGGTTATTAATTATTCAGTTCAATTTATAATAATGCACGGTAATGGCAGCTGAATAGACTGTTTCCTGAAATACGGGACCGCTCTGTTCTCTATTCATATCTTATTTAATTTTAAAACATACTACTTGTAGCAAACCATTACTGCTTGGCTATCGAGCCTTTTGACGCGTGTCTACTTCGTAAGTCATGTAATGGTTTCGTCACCAAAAAGCGGAAGGTGTAAATTTGAATTGCTCTTTGTTGACACAATTTTTTAACTCCTTCTGGTTAAACGATCTCGTGCAATGTCTGCCCTTTCCCAATTATAATGCTACTGTGACGCTTAAGCATGTCGCATACCACATACCACACTGATGAGCCATTACTAATCTCTAAGCTCCTCCTTTATAGGCGATTGATCGCCAATGAATATGGATTAGGCGGAGATATGACTGATCGTGAGACCAATAGAAAGATCATCCGAGCATGGAAATCTACCTGGTGCTGGGCATAGCTGTGTTGATATACACGCTGGTCACGTTGTTCATCAACAGCAAGTGCTGGAACCCCGAGGACGAGAAATGCCAGTGTGAGGAGTGCAAGAACCTCTGCCAATACCCGTCGAGGAACATCGCCCAGTCCGTGCTCTCCGTGTCCTCCCGCATTGATATAATTGAGCGACAGTGATTTGTATTAATTTCGTACTCAAAAGTGATAGCGAGTATTTCCCCGAGAACGAATGGACGTGTGCCAAATTTGAAACATCTCAAGTTTTGCCTCACTCGCGAGTGAATTGAATCTAAACCGATATCCCAGTGCCAAATCTACCTATAGGTTATTTCGCAGCATCCTTTTAGCGATTGCGTCAGTTTATAACTACCCTAAATTACTCTGTGCCAATAACAGACCGGTGCAGTTACAGACTGAGTGTTTTCGACCGGTTGGTGGGCCCGTGCGGCGGGAGTGCGGCGTTGGTACGGTGCGGGCGGGTGATGGTTAGAGTGTAGTTCTATGGAGCCGCTGTCGCGGCTTATGGGCGGTGCGGCGGGGGCGGGGGCGAGGGCGAGGGGCGCCCTGGTGCACGCCAGTCTCGCGGCCGCACCCCTGGCTCCCGACAAGAAGGGCCGCCACCTCACCGGCACGTTCTGCCTAACCGGCGACACGATGGAGGGGATCATCCAGTGCCTCGTCTTCTTGAAGGCGTTCTCGGTGAGTGTGAGATTGTAGCGGTGCCGTTGGTGTACGTTTCGAAAGTCTATTGCGGCTTTAATGTTTTATAGACTAATGCACATACACTATTTGAGTGATTTTTTCCATTACGCGAGTATTTTGTATTGAGAACTAGGTACCGCATTGCGGTGTCTTTTTTTTTTTTGCTTAGTAACAAAACTGATTTAGCGTCGGCGTCCAACTCTCATCGTAATCGGATTAATGCTAAAGTAACACACACGAACAAACAGATATAATTTTTTACTTATACTATACTGTCTTTTTTAACTAACTAACGCTTCTTGCAACTGTTGTATGCTTAAAACGAACCCTATGAGGCTTCACGTCGTCGGCAGTAATGTTCAATTGATTGGTCCGATGTCCGATTGGAATTTACCTCGCAATCGGACTCCGGCACCGCGCGCTAGAATTCTGTGGCCGACAGTGCATTTGCTGACTTCCAATCGAAGCTGCTGGTAGTATGTATCCAAATGCCAGTATTATTTCAATTGCATAAAACTTCAACTGGACTTCAATTCATAAGGAGTTCTCAATTCGACTGTTTTTTTTTATGTTTGTTCCCTCAGAACTTTCGACGGAGTGGGCCGACTTAGATGATTCCTTTTTTTTATTTGAAAGCTGGCTATTGCCTATTTGGGCTCCGGAGATACTTAGGGAGCTTTTAAAAATCAATTATAAAATTAATACAGAGGAAGATATTTGAAGTCGGTTTTGTTTTTCATTAATAAATTGAGACTTGCTAATGCTGTTGTAAAACTGTTAATAGTAACTACCTGATAATTTATTACTGTCGCAGTAACACAAAAACGTTAAATAAAACAAAAGAACCGACAAACTGTTTTTTTTTAATAAAAAAAAAAGTAAAAATAGGACTACGAGGAAAGAGAGTACAATGTAATGAAGGCTGTGAAACGAAATGCTCAATTAATTGAACGTTCTTGCGTATGTCACATAATATCGTGAAAGACTTCAAAAAAATATGGCATTTGTCTCTTACTGTCTACTTCTTATACCTCTAATGCTCTTCGAGATATAAACTAGCTCTTTTTCAATTTTAAAATGTTCCAACAGACCCGAAACAATGGCGACATCGACAAAGCCGGCTGATATTAATGATTGCAATTCAATATGTCTATTGTTTCAAAGAGCAAGACCCATCCGGGTTGTTTCGCAACGGCGGCGGGAACTCGACCCAATTACCTCTCTGCCATTAATTAATGCCTCGATATCTAAAGCTTATCGAGTAATACTGTCGTAAGACTCTTTTGTGATCGTCTCTCCTACGATAGTTGGCTAATATAAACGAAGGATAGGTGCGGTCGTCCGATTAGTTCAGTTGCTCGGCTGTGAGAATCCAAGCCGCGAGTCGTGCATTCGACTCCGCCACGAGTGTTCGTACGATCTGTGAATATTTTTACAGGATACTAATAAATAAAGAGGGTTTTTATATCAAGGTAAATTCCCAAAAATTTTTTTTTGTTCGTGTAAACAATCGTGTGAATAATGTTATCCACCATAAACGAAACCAAAATGAGTTTTCTTTAATTATTTAACTGTCTTACGATAGCTTTATTTTATATGTTTACTTCATTTGGTTTTGTACAACATAAATATAATAATCCCTTTGGGAATAATTAAGCATCCACTTTTTAATTATGTAAGCCATGAATAAGTTAGAGAGGGCTGAAGTACCTAATTATGTAATACTTAGGGGTCACCTTCCCTTGTGAATAATATTGTCCATATTCGCTGTCATTCCAATTTTGCTATAAACTTTTTTTAAAGAACCACATACTAATTAGTCTTTGAACACTTTGCAAGTATGGTTTTTTTAAATACACATAAAATTTTTACATATAATTTTTTAAATACGTAGGACTTATATGCTTATAAGTTCGCGACAAAGTGAATGAGAATTAATGACTTGTCATCAACCACAACCACATATCACGGTCTCGTATTAGTTTCGGCAAATCATTAATTACATCGTAATTAATAACATAGGCTCGTGACATTCTAAGATCAATCAAATGCCAACATTAGCATTATACATATGTAAATATATATTCCTGTAACGCCAAGTAGTAGTAGCAGTGTCAATAGGAAAAAACGTAGGCATAATATTTGGAATTTGCTTCGACTTTAAACCTGATTTTTTTTTTATGTGAAAAGTTTCTAAACGAGCAGACGGTTCACCTGATGGTAAGTGAATACCGCCGCCTTAGACATCTGCTACACCCGAGGGTTACAGATGCGTTGACAATCTTTTGAAAATTGGGCTGCCTCACTCACCAGATGAAATGCGAAAGTATTTGTCATACTTCCACTTTACGCCGGTCTCCTGTGAGGTCGTGGTACTTACAAGGACGGGCCTGCCCATTTGTGCAACAGCCGAGGCTGCTGCGTGGCCCTACCACCGATAAATCAACCGATAATATCAAAAACGAAGTATTCAAACGCAAAAAAATCTTTTTTCGTCTCGAAATATACGAAAAAAATTATGGTGAACTGAAGGTTGGAGGCACGAGGCATATTGATATGGACAACGGTACTATGAAATTCTACTGTTTCACAAAATTAATACGTATGGTTGTGTCGAGAAAGTGGCTACCGTGCAAGTAAACAGCCTCGAGATACAACACCAAAGGTTTTCAATTATCTTCCCCACCTTAGAGATAAGACCATAGCCTAAATTCGTATTGTTATACTTTTAATTTCGCTCAAAATCCGAACACAGCTTGTTCGGTATCAAGAACTAACTCGTACTATTTGTTTAAGACGTGTATTAGGTTTGCCCGGATCGTCGGAGCAAGGACGCTCCGAAGGACTTCGAGCGTATATCGGGGGCTTTAGGAGAACTCTTGTTTATTTGCGATTTCCAACGACTGTGTTATTACATTTTCTGACAAAAATCTAACAACTTTTAAATTGATATTGAGAGATCAAAAAGGAGAGATATAATTATGTAGAGTATTTTAAAAGAATATTCATTGGACTTCATAGATGAGCATCGCGATCTGATTTCGCCATTTCATACATTTTAAATCAATAACACGCATTATTAGCGGTGTGTAGTGAAAGATTTAATACCTGTAATGATCTGGGCCTTAAAGGAATTTGTCAATTTTTTATAACACTAGCCGAATGTAGGTATACCATTTTACGTTTGTAATAAGTAATAACTTGAATGTATTTAAATGAGGCTGTTGAAGCCGCAAATAAAATTTAAATGTCACTTTAGTATATTACTTTTGATTGTTGTTCATAAAGCCTGTCCTTTTCTGTTAAAATATTTTTTTTCTGCGAAGAAGCCAGACAACATCGGATCGTATGAACAAGGGGTGTGGGTGTAAGATCCAGGGGGTTTTACGATGTCCTCTGTGATGTCTTCTCATTTGCTGTATATCAATAATAGGGATAATAGATAACTTTATTGCTTCAGTCATTTCTCAACTAAGAAATGCCACAACGATAGCGGCACCTTTATTTGATTGAGACGGAACTTTTTACAAAGCAGTAACTTAGATGAATGAATTCTGAAGGTTACCATTCAGTTTACCCGTCTACTGTGAAATTAAAGTTGAGTTGAGCTCTTCTACGTCGGTACAAATTAATAACTGTTTGCGCCCGTTATATTCTCGTGAAACGCACTAAAGTAAGCTTAAATCTACGGTACCTATACTACAATATCATGTATCCAAACTCGTCAACTTTGTTCATTGTTTAGAAGTAAGGGGGATAGCTTTATAATCTGTTGCTCATCTATATGTTTCACTTTTATCAAAATGATGATGTCTCACGCGACAACGTGACTTTTATTGGGTGATAACGTAGTGTTTATTGTTCAACTAATGTAAATAAAAAAAAATACTACTAGCCTCGAGTTTTGTTAACTGCTCTACGCGATCCGGTATAAGTAAATATTAATCTATCCTTACTGCTCTTTCTCATGAAATACAAAAAAAAAACTAACTCTTTCCTAAAAGGCGGGCAACGCATTTGTGAGCCCTCGGGTGTTGCAGGTGTTCATGGGCGGCGGTAATCACTTACCATCAGGTGAGCCTCCTGCTCGTTTGCCCCTTTTCTCCATTAAAAAAAAAATGGCTCCTATAGTAATTAGATAACCTAAACCTGACTTGTAGAAATTAGAAGCGTTGTTGGGCTTTAAGATATATAAATTAAATGTAGACCAGACATCCAAATCCGGAGATTTGTAGATCATGTACACAACCAACGACAAACTACGATAAGCTGTGATGACGTGATTGCCTAGGCTGGAATCTGTGCCAACCGAGCGGAGTTATCTCCAAATCTTCATCTGGCCATAAGAATTTTAATTTTGATACGACCCGCTGGACCTCAAACTTTTGAAATCATTATTTCCAACCCAAAGCACAAGATATAAAAATGAGTACATACACTTAAGAATCCAAAAAATCAAGTCAATAGAGTCCTCCGTTCTCGGAGCTCCGATGGCGAGGCGACTCATCGCTACCGCTGAGCCATCGCTCATCGTATAGTTTGATTTAAATTATACCTCGCCCCTAGGGAGCTTGATCAGTGCCCCGTTAACCTTCGTAACATTATCGATTAAGATACAAGGCGGCAGAATGTGATTAACGATGTTCCCCCGGGCGACACGTTATAACATAATGTTAACATTTGCACGGGGGGAGCACGCGAGATAACATTAAGGAACATGTACTTTAATTAGTATCTTATTGGACATAGTGTTTAATGGTTCCTTTGGATCTCTGTAACAACTTTGCTTTATCTTTTTTTTGGAATAAATATACGTTTAGAATTCATTTGCATGAAAGTACAAGAATGCCGACCTACAAGATATTGAAAGAGGCCACTTTCCCGAAAGGCAAGTAAAGTCCACTCGCGATTAAAAAAGCGATATTATAACAAATAGTTTGAAAAAAGTCTCAGTCCATTGCTGAAGGCCATATTTTTTGTGAATGATGCATACCCGTCCCTGGAATGAGATTAAATATTTATTTGATAACTACCTGACCCGGAAAACGTTGTTTTACCATATTAATTATTTCTAGGAATTTGTGAATCTGAACACACAGAAAAGGAATTTTCGGAACGCATGCATAGAATGTTTGATAGGTAGGACCAGTTTGTAAGGGAAAATAAAATTGTCGGTATTTGGATTTTCCATGCAATTTTTCCATAATTTCCCATCGTTTAAACCTTCCCTGGACTGCCACAAATATTTCAAAACCAAAATTAGCCATATCGGTCCCGCCGTTCTCGCGTTTTAGCGAGACTGACGAACAGCAATTCATTATACGACATATATAGATAGATGTAACTGACAATCTTTTTAGTGATCGTGTCACTTCTAAGACGCACTAGGTAGTAGGATTTCACGAGGGCTCGTGTGTGACACGAATGAGTTCAGCGACAGTCGAATGTGTTACTCTATCGCGGTCATCATTAACTGGAGTGCTAGCCTCGCAGCCACTGCGGTTAATTGCGTGTTTAAAATGGCCGCCTTGTCTAAATATAACAAGACGTCGGCGAATTGCATCAAAATCTAACTGCAGCTTCCTGTCACAGCTATTTATCACAATGTCGCATTGCGGCTGATTAGGAAAAGTAAGTAAATTGTAAATAAAATTTAACACAACTTTACCTAGTTACAAACTAAGCAAAGCTTATTTGTGTTCCCGGGAACTGATTAAACATACTTCTATTATCTATATGATATATATACATCTTATGTAAGTAAAAGCATATAGATAAATATTTATTAAAAAAAATCTTCCCTAATGACTAAATGTCCCCAAAATTATCTTGTATTGTTTGGAAGTTGCACAACTGACAATTCTAAAGATTTGTTACATTACATACAAACCGTTTATGCATCTTACAAAGTTTGATTTTTATATTTTGTGTATTTACTGCGCGGAGGTACTTTCTGTGAGACAACTATTTATTTTATCTGTGGTCTTAAAAACACATGGAAACTCCGCCTGCCCACATGAGATTAGGTTAAACGTCATGACGCCGAAACCTGAAAATCAGGTTCTTACAACCTAGTTCAGCGACGGATGCTATTGTTCTGGTGTTGTAATTTGTCACATTAC